CGATAATAATCGACTATCGAAGGAATGTGTGAAAGAATGAAGTATGAGATGGGAAGCGCCCATCTCTAAAGAATTAATGTCGCACGTTTGCACCCGTAGGAATCTGTTATATTTAATTGGATGATTCAATCATTATCGTGTAGGTTTACCTACAGATTAGTTATTTTTCCTTGGACGAACTGTAAAAATACGGAAGCGAAACCAACGGCAATGATCAGTGAAAAGGTAGCCTACCTCATAAGCTAAAACCTTATTGTATTTATTTATTGAAAAATTGTAACAAAAGTCAATTTATTTTTTAATCCATATGACTAAAAGCATTAGCAAGGTACAGCAACGGTATTCCGTATAAATAAGGTGTGTATTTGCTTATCGCCTTTGGTGTTCTAGTGAAAGTGACGGGCAAATGCGTACGCAAAACCACTAAACTTTCTCTTATACATGTGGATATCTTACTTTTATTTATACGAAATACGAGTGAACACAAGAAAATTCGCACAGCTTAGTACCTACCTTCTTACATTAAAAATAATATGATCGATTGTTTAACCAATAATAATACCTTAAACGTTAATTTATAGTTTCTTTTACATTTATGTACTGTTTAATAAAAGCCATGTTATCTGGGTAGGTTCGCCTTTTTCTGCATCTTTTTTCGTATTAGCTGATTTTGATTAATAACACATCCATACACAAAATCTATACTAATATTATAAATGCCAAAACCGATTTTGATGAAATTTGGCATAGAGATAGTTTGAGTTTCGGGGAAGGACATAGGATAGTTTTTATCCCGGTTTTTGAAACAGGGACGCGCGCGATAAAGTTTTTCTGTGACGGACAAAATTCCACGCGGGCGAAGCCGCGGGCGGTAAGCTAGTTAGTTCTATTTAGATCAGGGGTTCCCTAACTTATATGAGACGCGCCCTCTTTCGACCTTACAAAAATTCATTAATTTCTGTGTTGCATATTAGTGCCTATTTCTTTCGACTGTATCTTTTTCAAAGGGTAGGGCGTCGTGACAAAATACTAAAATTGTAACTGCGTCACGGGATGCAAAGATTGGGACATTGGGAGCTGCTGTCATAGGATCCTCTAAGTATCATAAGTATTTAAATAGGATTATTATGTCTTTTGTAATCCAAATATTTCTAAAACTTGAACAAAATTTTAAGCATTTATCAATAACATGTTTTGACATATTAATTTTATTTCACCTAGTGAAAACATACAACTGTTTACTGTAGACGATTTTTAATTTAAGACCACCATACGCAAACAATTCGTACCTATCTATTGATTTGCCAATTACCATACAGATTGCTGTAATGTTAATGGTGTATGTGGGTAGGTATGTAGAGACATTATGAGGAGATGTATGAAATCAATGACGCAATTAGGATCTGCTTATTTTTTTGAACTTTAACACTACCTAGAGATAGACTCCTAACAATAGAGCTAATACTATGCATAATAAGTTTCTTGAGTTTCTGATAACTGAAATTATTATATTAACAATTCATAATATCTTCAAGAATTAGGTAACCTTAGGATATTCCTCAGACGGAAGAATATTGTGGATACTAATCATTAATCAATAATAATAAATCATACTGTTTAGTATAATTATGCACCATGGATTGTTAGCAATTATTATATCTGCATGAAGCTCCTAAGAGATAAGTATCTGAGTCAGAATAGATCTTTTTCAAACACCTTTAATATTTACCTCAATAATAAAATAACAACAAAAATCAAGTCTTACAAGCAATGTATATTGTCCTACACATGCACATCTTCTCTTACTACAAAACAGATTGTGTATGTGTCATACAGAGAGCCATGAAATGTGTTGATTAAAATTTTATTTTTGATACATCTTTTGCTGATAAAATAATAAAGAATGTTATGATGTCAGCAGGTGAATATATGAGCTTAAGTGGGGCTTGGGCAGACAATTTGTTAAAAGGCATGAAGACAATAGAAAAATCTCAAAAATCCATGGCTTGGAGAATAAAGACCACCACACAGTGTATAGTCATACACACTTAATCAGTTGGCTAATTTAATGGCCTCATTGGAAAAAATGAGATTGAATGTTACAACTTACAATAGTCATAAGGAGGCCTTGTGCCCAAAAGTAAGTTTAACCAGCTATGTAGGCTGGACCCTTTTTTACGTCGGGAAATGCTTTGCGCATACCCACTGGTCGATGGGGACGGCCAGTGGGTTATGTGGGACTCTCCCCGCCGACCCACTAAAGGCAGGGCCTACCCATTATAACCCGACGTTTTCCACCAGAGCCCAAAGAAACGGAGCCGCGAGTTATTATCCTAGTTAGACATTCGTCCGCAGCTCCGCCTCAGGCTAGAGACTCTCTGGCTTCGAGGGAACCCCCAATCTCCTCCTCCAGTTGTTATTTATAGAGGTTTTCTCCTCACGGCCCTGGTACGACAGGACCCCCGGCCCGCCGTAGGGGGTACGGTCTGCTCCATGCCGCTGCTCAGTCAGCTCTGCTGATCAGAGAAGTACCGAGAGTGGCCCTCCTAAGAATGGGCCCGAGCAAACGCCCCGCCAGTCCCCACCTGTGGGGGTTTTTAAAGATGCCCCCTGAATCGAGGCCCGGGCAAATGCATCGACGGCCCCCGGCCCACTCAATTGTGGGTTACGGGTTGCCCGACAGGCCCGCCGAGTTGACGAGAAGGTAGGCTGGGCCCTAGGGCAGCAGATTTTAGGGTAGACAAAGGTTGGTGTAAAGTGCTCCTTAAGGGCTACCCCTTTTTAGTTTTGACGTTCCTAAATTATAAAATACTGGGTTAAATTGAATAAAATATTTTTGATTTTGACAAAGGGATCAAGTGGTAATAAAAGTAGATACCTCAAATTGTAGAGGAGCAGATAGCCTACTGGTGACAAATGTGTGAATGCGCCACTACTTATACCCAACAGGTTACTAAGGATATGGGTTAGATTCTTTATAAGTGTTGAGTAGATGATATATAAAATTCTACCATAAAACAAATGAAACGAAGACTGCGCGGGAGTGGGCGACCAGGCTCCCGTGACGGTGAATGCTTCTGGTAGCACTGCAAAAAAACTAACCCAACAGGCATTCCATCCAAGCCTATTCATCACAAGACCGAGATCGGCTTCACTGGGAAACATCAAGACCACTGACTCAGCCACAGAAATTGAAGATGATTGTGTCAACAAAGTTTGCCCTCCCTCTTGGCAAAGAGTACCTACTGACCGCAACCCCAAAAGGAAAAGAATGTCCAACAGTCCAACACAAACTAAAAAAGTAAATCATGGGACACCAAAAGGAATCACCACCTCCAACAGATACAGCGGGCTTCCTATAGATCTAACCGAGGAGACAAAAGAAAATCCATCCAATAATACCAAAAAAAGCTATACACAATCTACACCGCTGACCTACCAACGTCACATAAAGTTGTGACTGCTACCTATGCAGATGACACTGCAATCCTCTCCTGCAGTAAAGACCCGAACACAGCCTCTGCAAAATTACAAGAATGCCTGGACGAAATTGGACGATGGCTGAAAAAGTGGAGAATCCGAGCAAGCCCAGCAAAATCCGTCCACATAACTTTCGCGTTAAAGAGAGGGGACTGTTCACCGGTGACACTGGATGGTGCTGTCCTGCCAACAGACACGACAGTAAAATACCTAGGCATGCACTTGGATAGGAGACTCACTTGGCGAGCCCACATAAAGGCCAAAAGAGAACAGGCAAACAAAAAGTTTGCAGATATGTACTGGCTGCTAGGCAGACAGTCAACGCTAAGCCTGGAAAACAAAGTCCTAATTTACAAGTCTATCCTGAAACCGATTTGGACATATGGCATACAACTCTGGGGGTCAGCTAGTCACTCAAATGTTGAAATCCTGCAGCGCTACCAGAACAAAGTGTTAAAGATCCTGATCAATGCCCCATGGTTCACACGAAACACGGAAGTGCACGAGTACCTAGAAATCCCTACAGTCATGGGAGAAATAGAAAGTTCTTCTGCATCCTACAAGCAACGCCTTGAACGACATATCAACCATCTGGCTACACAGCTCGTGAATACAAACAACTGCCTGTTTCGGTTGAAAAGAATGCGATTGGCTTCCATATAAAACTTCTCAGGAAGAAAAAGAGCAGGGATGACACATCACAGGACGTGCACTCCCCAAAAGTCGAATTATCAATCAACATCAAATCTGATTAAAGCCGCTGGGCTGATTGCAGATAATAATAAAAATAAAAAAAAATAAAAAAAAAAAAAAAAACCATAAAACAAATAAAAGTGTGTAACACAGTCTTTTACAATTTTTTCAGTATATGGAGGTTGGTGGCACGCACTTCACATCATTTAATTCATACAGTATGGAATTCAGATTAACAAACAGATCAAATATTTTTTAGGACTCTTCAATAAGTTGCTATTAGTTGTTGGTATGCCATATGAATAAATAAATAAATATTAGAGAAAGGAAAGTGGTGTCAAATTTCAAATAAATTCTATTAAAATTGAGTTGTTAAGTGAATTAAATTAACTTTTATTACACTTGAGAATATTAGTGAAATTATTTCAGAGTAAGTATTGATTTTTTAAAGCTTTTTTGTCACGAACATCACGTCATTAAGATTTCTGGGATAAGGGTAAAAATTTTGATTTTAAGTCGCCTAACGTCTATGAACAGCTAAGTATCACTAGCAGAAAAACACAAGTCTGGAATCAATACTGATACATTGATATTAATCAATAATTTAGACAAAACTGTGTTTGATGAATAAAAGTAAATGTTACTGCTACTTATAAATGTTACTACGAGATCTAATCAGCAAAAATTTGTTCGTAATTAAAATAATACGTAAGTATTCATGTTATACTTACGTAAATCTATAGCTGGACGAATGAGTTGCTGAACCTTTACACTTGCAAATACTTCATAAAATATCGAACTAACTTCAGATATTTGTAGGTACATACCTAATTAAATTAAGCTGAGCTGAAGACCAGATAGAAAATTTGTGTAATTGGACTCGTTCGTCGAATAAACACCAAACACGGACCGCTCACAAAACAGATGATTAGCACTCCTCTCCACACCAGTCAAGTGACAAGTGAAAAATGCAATTTGCACACAGTGACGCACACACAAACAAAAATGTTTTTTTTAGACAGTGTGGCTTGGGCTATCTACAAATAACCTACATTGTGCCGCGGGTGAGGTCACCTTGTCAGTCGTCCGTCGTCGTAGTCTTATAGGTTTTTTTCCATTACCTTATTTTAGAAGTTAGGGGGGCACAGATTTTACCTCTTTTGGAAGCGTCTCTTGCGCAAACTATTCAGTTAAGAAATAAATTCTTGAAGACCTATCCATAGAAAAAAAAAAGTATATTTCAGTTCTTAGTATGGGATGGGGCTAGGGATGTTATAGATATGTAGTTTCGGTTACGGATACGGTTACGGATATAGGAATAATATTATACCGGTTTCTATGGTTACGGATATTTTTCATTTTGGATATCCGAAATTTTCTGTTACGATTACGGATATCTAAGCTTCAGAATGCAATTTGCAATAGTTGTCCAACACGGTTCATTCATGGCCGCACACTAAAGTTAACATTGAATAAAAAGTAATAAAAAAATAAAAATTGATACTAGATGACATTATAAAGGTAAATCAGGCTGTTATGCCTTAACATATTTTATAATACTACTAGCTTTCCGCCCGCGGCTTCGCCCGCGTGGAATTTTGTCTGTCACAGAAAAACTTTATCGCGCGCGTCCCTGTTTCAAAAACCGGGATAAAAACTATCCTATGTTCTTTCCCGGGACTCAAACTATCTCTATGCCAAATTTCATCAAAATCGGTTGCGAGGTTTAAGCGGGAAAGCGTAACAGACAGACAGACTAACAGACAGACAGACAGACAGACAGAGTTACTTTCGCATTTATAATATTAGTTGGGATACAAAAATCAATTTAAACTGCCTACATCCGAAACTTTTGAATCGGTTACGGTTACGGTTTCGGATATTTTTTATTTCGGATATCCGATAGTTTCGGTTACGGTTACGGATATCCATTTCCATTCACATCCCTGATGGGGACCCCCAAAATTTATTGTTTTTTTCTATTTTCGGTTTACAAAATACACATAAATACATCTACTTAACTTACCAAGTTTCAACAGTATAGCTTTTATAGTTTCGGAAAAAAGTGGCTGTGACATACGGACGGACGGACAGACAGACATGACGAATCTTTAAGGGTTCCGTTTTTTGGCATTTGGCTACGGAAAGATTTGGCTATATGGACGAGGCCCGAAGCCGTAAAATTTGAACTGAGAAATGAGAATGAGTGAGTGAGTGAGTGAATCCGTGTGTGTGTGACGGATGGAGATTGCAGAGGTGCATTTTTCTTCGGGAAATCATTTGATCGATAAAATTGTTTTCTTCTTTTTGGTATCATTTGTACCTTTGGTACACATGTAGTGTAGTTTCTAGATTATTGTTTTATTTAGATTTTACATGGGAAAATGGCTTCATCATCACAAGTGAAAATTAAAATTGAAGATGTATGTCGCACTTGTTTAGCCAAGGAAAGTGAATTGTTTTCGGTGTTTGATGTATCCCTTGGTGCTGTAACTCTGGACTGTGCTATAGCAGATGTTACTGGAGTTAAGGTATGTTGCTAGAGCTAAAAGTTACATATTATCTTTAGCTACATTTAGCTATAGGCTATAGCGAAATCCAATTTGTGCTTGGCGAATCTATACCAATTCTGTAGGTACCTAAAAACATTTTATGTGTATGTTACCGGAAATGCGTCTAACTCAGGTATTCTACACATTACCTAGATAATGTATGAAATGCCTGAGGCGTTTATGCAATGTATGAAATGTTAAGAATATGATTGTCCATTAAACCTAGGTAATGTATCAAATTCCTAGGCATTGTATAGAATACCCGCTGTCCCACGGGCAATGTGTAAAATAAATAGATTGTTGCTTGTTTCTATTAATTTAAGTAAGTAGATACCTACCGAAAGATCCCTTGGATCTCACCTGGTAGAAAGATGTTAAGCTAATGGTGGAAGCAAGCTTTATCTGGAAAGCTCAATTAGAGGGGAACTTGTTAGCTTACCTCTAACTGCCAAAACAATGATGCTGTTAACATTGTTGCTTAGGCAACATTCTTAGGTAAGATGGTGGTAACTAACCAGGCGGACTTAAAACAAGCCTCACTACCAACCAAACTGAGCAGTAAATTGCCCCCGTTAGGAATTGAACTCAGAGGTCCTCTGCGTCTGAGTCTAGGAGCANGTGGAATGCCCCTCTAGTTATCTTAACAATTGACCACAAAAGCGGTGCGCTTTATTGAATTTAACAATATATTAAGTAGTAACTACTTATTTTAACAATCACAATGAAATTATGTTAAACTTAACATTCTTCTGGGTTTCCGCCTGGCTGTAAGTCTTGTTTATCATCTTTTATACACATTGCCGGCTGCACATCCGGTATTGTATGCAATACCTAGGTAAAGTGTAAAATCCTACTAATATAATAAATGCGAAAGTTTGGATGTCTGGATGTCTGTTATTCTTTCACGCAAAAACTACTGAACGGATTTTAACGAAACTTTACAGTATTAATCTTTATAACCCAGAATAACATATATTGTATAGTATGCTGGATTATACACATTGTCGTTAATGTACATTCTGTGATTACCAGGGTTCAAAATTATCAAGATAATTACGCTTTGTGATAATTATCAACAGTATAAGATACTTTTGTCATATTAATTCATAAGAAATTTTGATGTTACATTGTTTCCAAGTCAAGTTATTCATTGAAAATGTTGCTTTGTTTTTGGTTACTGATTTTTGTCACTAGATGAGAAACACTGCTGTGAAATGTTCTCTTCACATCTCAGTGTTTTACCACGTTAAATGTGTATGTCTCGAACTGATCAGTGCTAAAGGCATATAAATTATAAAAGGTTAATTATAAGCCTAGGTGCAGACCACCGATTTTTCGTTGGCCGATAGTTTGGTGGGGCAGTTAATCTGCAACTAAACGCCCTTGGAGCTCAGAACTTTCGAAGTTCAATAAAAACTGTGAGCACATTATTAGGTACTTTAACCAAAATCGAAAAAGTGCCGAAGAAAAAAAAAATCAGTATGGGCATGTCTTGTATGGAAGTGCGCACATTACACCGATTTGATTGTCGTACAAATTAAAATCGGCCCATCCTAACAAAATCGGTGGTCTGCGCCTAGGCTAAATGACCCTGGTTGGAAAGTAGTCTTTTCCATTTCAGTTCAGCACATAATTATCATTCACGAGATAATAAAAACTTCCTTTTGTAAAATTAAAAATAAAGTCTGGTGGTGGACTCATTAACTTGATAATTTACTGACAAAACTCAACTGGGAATTCAAACAAATACCTAACTCAAGTTACCAAACATGATTTGCAAGATGAGTGAACAAATGTTATTTATTTTAAATTATTATTGTTGTCTAATGTTATTTTATTACTCAATCTATTTTTTATTTCATTGATAGACAGTACTAATAGGGCAAAAGTAAATGCTTGTTTTATAAATGTATCAATAGCACAATATTAATGAGTTATATTGTGTTCAACCATGAGGTCCTATGAGGAGGTTACCTAAGACCCGAACAAGGTACGGCCACAGTACGGCCAAACCACAATAACAAGTGAAGGAGCGCGTCTTTTTGACAAGATACCCTCGGACATTAGAAATATTGACTTGTTCAATGTATTTACATTACATCATGTCTATTTGGAGCACATAGTCACGAATACCTAGGTATTTGAGACTATACTATGCTAGTTGTTTCTAAATCTGGGTCTATGACTGAGTGATGGGTATATACAGGGTGTTTGGTGCATCGTGTGCCAAAATTATTTGGCGGATAGAATGGGTCATTTCCTATATTTTCAGCCTCCATAACACGTTCCATGCCAGGCGGCTACTTTTATATGAATTTTTTTAGTAAATTCACCAAAATACCTAAATCGCATCATTTAATTTCGATTTAAAAAAAACTACTAGGCGTAGCCTCAAAGTAAATATTTTGTTTTGACGTGCATTGATGTAGGGTTGCATCAAATCTAAATTTACTGGCAAATATCATCTAGTTTTTTTTAAATTCAGCTTTGAAGTTTTTCGAAAAGTTAAAAATGGACTGAACCATTAAGTTTACATGGCTATAATAAAAAAAATAAAAGAGTATATTTACTTTGAGGCTACGCCTAGTAGTTTTTTTTAAATCGAAATTAAATGATGCGATTTAGGTATTTTGGTGAAGTTACTAAAAAAATTCATATAAAAGTAGCCTCCTGGCATGGAACGTGTTATGGGGGCTGAAAATATAGGAAATGACCCATTCTATCCGCCGAATAATTTTGGCACACGATGCGCCAAACACCCTGTATTAGGTACTATATCTATCTTTGTTCTCATGTAAGTGGCATAATTTGTCTTTATGAGAATAGGTAAATGTCTATAAACAATTTTATTATGACCATGAGGTCGAGAACCGTCAGTGAAATAGCGCACGTAACATGCAGTAGGTAAACAAATGGATATCGATTGCACTTCGGTCCTTGCTGCAGTGCGCAGTCGCGTCGATTTCCATTGCAAATGTACCTAGAATAATGAAATAATGGTCATGAACTACGATAAGAAAATTCTTTCGTTATTCTATTTTTTATAAGAATGTTTTTGAGATAAGCTCCAAATCCAACAACGTCGCACAAACACGAAAGATGAAGGGCACTGGGCACGTGGTTGGAATCAAATAAATAATACTTCTAACTAACTAACTACTACTAAATACTTCTTTTTGTAAATGTTATTTATTTTACTGCCTACTGATACGGCTTTTTCATTACTCGTACATAGTTTCGTAACTAAACATTTCTTTACTTTGCTCCGTGAAGCGATTTGGAAGATGAATCTGGCGCGATCACGAATGTATCTTTTCTGGAGCCGCAAGCACAGTTGGTACTTTAGATTATCGCCAGTTTTATCGTCAGATTGTCGGTTGCTGAACTTAGCCTTAGCAGCTAGAGATTTTTTAATTGCCGAAGTAACGCAATACCACTTGTGTACATGTAAAAAAATTTCGTCGTATTGAAAGTTGCAGCAACTTTCAACTCTACCTTTTGTTACTTGTAAGTAACATCTGAGTATAGTCATCTAGTAAATGTTATGTGTTATTTTAACTAATGTCGCTAAATTTGTTCTGCTTAGCACCACCACTTCCAACATCCTATTTTGAGAATTTTTATAGAGTACATACCTGGTAATTCCATGTATTTACAAATTTTTTCATACATGATGGAACAATTTCCACATTAAGGCCCGTTTTCCACCGAAGCGGAGAGAAATTAACTAAATTACTGCAGCTTTTTTAGGTCATATTCCTATAGATCGTTTATCCACGAAGACGCGCCCCACCATTTTTGGTCGAGGGAAGCGCGGGGTACGGGGAGTTAGATCCGAGCAATCCAAGCGTCATTATTGTAGTGTGCATACTCATGGATAATTTAGCGGAAAAATGGTGGGGCGCGTCTTTGTGGATGAAACGATGTATACCTAAAACACCACCTACCATCAAGAATTGTTTTTATTTTCAGATTGAACGTTCCGATGGACTTCCTTTCACTGTATGCCAGATATGTAAAGAAAAGGCCAGCAAAGCTTTCGAATTCAGAAAACTATCCCGAGAAGCTAATACAACTCTACAGAATGTTTACAAAAAAGAAAAAAATGAATTATCTTATCAGGAAAATACATCATACCAGGTTTAAATTATACAAAAAAAATATTACTAACAATAAATACGATATTATAATAGAAATTGTATGTACTTATTGTAAAATATGTTTTTTAGGAAACGGATCCTAACATAAAGACAGAGCAACCAACAGCAGATGATGGTGATTACGTGGATTGGATCGGACTTGACGATTTTAATGACGTAGGTAAGTCATCAATTAAACTTCCGCAAACATGGATACAAGATATTGATAAGATTTTTTCTGTTTGGTTTGATTTACAGACAAAAAATAAATTCATTTTTCCTAAATGCATAATTATTTTAGCTTGGCTGGCGGCTCTCCAGCCGCCAGCCAAGTACCAAGTACAAGTACCTCTCCAGGTTAGCGGCAAATATTAATAATTCGTTGAACGAGTATACAATTTAGTCATCTTTTTAAAATTGACTACTTTTAATGTGAAATACAGAATAATAATTATTGAGATCTTAACATTTTGTGCCCATAGATGCAGTGAAGGATGAGAGAGATGATATCAAATTCACCGAAAGCAGAACAGCGACGTTTCAATGTAAAAATTGCAATTTAGTTTTTCAAAGCAGTAAGAAGTTGCAAGAACATACGTCCAAAAATTGTTTAAAAGGTAAATTGTGGTAGTTAAATGGTTTACGCACTTTAAATTTTCTAATTTCTTAGTCACTTGAATTGACTCATTAATATTAATATTTTCCTATTTTCAGTGGAATTTGATGATACATGCAATAATTATTGCCCTCTGTGTGGTACCAGCTATCGCGATGCAGTAAACTTGACAACTCATATGTGGGAGAATCATGCTGATCTAATGGGACCGAAGAAAAGAGGAAGACCTAAAAAAATATTAACAACAGTATGTCTCTATGTTCTCTTCCGAAAAGGCTTTAGTACCATAGACCACATACATACGCTACGGCAGATTATATTTACCAGTGTGTGTTGCCAGTGATGGTGTATGGCTCTGAGACGTGGTCGCTTACTATGGGCCTCATAAGAAGGCTCAAGGTCACCCAAAGAGCGATGGAGCGTGCTATGCTCGGAGTTTCCCTGCGTGATCGAATCAGAAATGAGGAGATCCGTAGGAGAACCAGAGTGACTGACATAGCCCGCAGAATCGCTAAAATCAAGTGGCAGTGGGCGGGGCACATAGCTCGAAGAGCTGATGGCCGCTGGGGCAGAAAAGTTCTTGAGTGTCGTCCACGAGCTGGAAGACGTAGCGTGGGCAGGCCTCCCACTAGGTGGACCGACGATCTGGTGAAGGTCGCGGGAAGTACCTGGATGCAAGCGGCGCAGGACCGGTCTTTGTGGAAATCCTTGGGGGAGGCCTTTGTCCAGCAGTGGACGTCTTTCGGCTGAAACGATGTCTCTATACACTAAGCTACCATACTGTAGTGACTCTTGACTTGTTATGGCATTTGACGTGTGAATTGCGTGTGGCAAAAAATTCAACACATTTTTTTTTCGCAGACAATTCTTACAAAACTATCCGAAAATGGGTTTCGTTTGAAAGCTATAACCGTGGAAAAGTATGACTGTATGATTTGTAAAGAAGAATGCAATACCAAAGAAGAATTAGGTGTCCATCTTGTCAGACACAAAGGTGCAAAAAACTTAATTTTATGACACTAACATAATATTTATTATTCATATAACATTTTTAATTTATGTTTCTAAATCATTTTAGATACAAAAGTTATGTGCTGTCTTCTTTGTAAGAAAATGTATTTAAAGGCAAGACACTTCAGTCGGCATATTTGCACAGAAAAAGGAAATAATAAAAAAGAAGTAAGTAGCACAATACATAAAATGATGTAATATGTTATGTATGTATGTATATCGTCTAAATTCGATCATTGATCAATGTTTCGTCGTTGCAGGATGATTTGTCAACAATTGCTGGAAAAAACAAACAAAGCTGTGTGTCTGAAATACTTTTGGAAGAGCTACTGGAGCCAAATGGAATCACGGTAAGAAGCTGTTTAACAACTCAGGCATTTTCTTAAAGATCGAATTAAAAAAATATGTTTGTTTACAGGAAAATTGTACCTTACTTCAGGTATGTGAAATATGTAGTGGTGTGTTCACATCCGAAGAAGATTTGATGAGCCATAATGATGCAGAGCATCCCGAACGGTCGCTTAGGTGCAATCTTTGTTTGAAGGTAGCTTTTTATAAAATTGAATGTGTATGCAATGTGGAGACGACAATATTTATGTATTTTCTGACAGTGCTAATTTTGGAGCATCATAAGCAGTGCAAATTAATTAGGTACAACATCAACAAATAACCACTTCTCTTATTCGAGGCAAATGATTGATTTATATTATTTATATTCGTCCTTTATCGGGAAGTCCTCGGGAAGAGTAGAAGGGATTTAAATCCAAAACCTCACGACAGGTTTTTAATTTACACTTTTATTATTTATTTATTTATTTGGACAACCAACAAGAACCATTTAATATTATTGTCGTTTCTATCCTGCATATTTTATGAATAACTTGCCTAAACCGATAAAATCGTTGATATATTGACTATCCAAATTCAGGTGTTTGCTTCAATAAAATCCGCTGCTCGCCACAGAAGTATTTGTAAGCAGATCGAGAGAAAACATAAATGTACCACGTGTGGCCTGAAATTCGCCTACGAAATATCATTAAACAAACACATACTGAGATACCATGAGGGCCAAAGCGTTTCTGTAAAGTTTATGGACACCAAAGCTAAAGACGAGGAAAAACAGTACCAGTGTGATACTTGCAGCAAACAGTTTTCAAGGTATGTAGTTTGCCGTATCTTAAGTAATTAATGCTCATAATGAATCACTCATTATTATTTTTTATTCAGAATACATAATTTGGTCAAATAAATAACTTATTATTTTTTGGTAAAAAAATAGTAGGTATGACAGTTGAAACTGTAAATCAAATTGCTTGTTTTACACAAATTGTTACAGGAAAGAGTTGCTGGTTAAGCATACTAGAACCCATTCGGACAAGTTGTATGAATGCGATATATGCAAGAAGAAATTCAATAGAAGCGATAATTTAAGGTATTTATGTTTTCTAGCTAGACAAAGGCGCTAAAGCAGTTTGATAACACTTAATGTCTAGTTTCTATTGCTCTACACCAGCCCAAATAGATTTGGGTAGATTGTGTAGACACAAGTAATTGACGAGTAACACCTAAAAACAACATCGATGACAATTTTCATAAATCCAATTTTGAAAAGTGTTATAAGAGTGACAAATCTGTGGTATCGTAGCCCCCAAACGAATGAATCGATTGTGATACGTTGTTTTTGTTTGTAAGCTGACATGATCGTGAGAGTTCTTATCTTTAATATGTATATTATGAAGCTCGATTCAGATCGTTAGCTCTTTTCTTTATTGAAAATGTTTTTTAGGTCACACAAAAAGACTCACGATCCGCGCGAGAAATCCAAAGCTAGCACTTGTTTGTGTTTGTACTGCGGCCGCAGCTTTAACAACTCGTCCAATCTGATCGTGCACATGCGTCGGCACACCGGCGAAAAACCATACAAGTGCGATTTTTGTGGAAAAGGTTTGTTGAACTATCAATTTAACCCTTTCACAGAGATATTTTAATAGAATATGAACCTTATTTTATCACAATACAGTTTTTTAAAAAAGGTTATCAGTAAATATGTTGTCTTTATGTAATTACAGGGTTCCCTAGATCATCAGATCTTCAGTGCCACCGGAGGTCTCATACTGGCGAAAAACCGTGTGTTTGTCGAATATGCGGTAAAGGTAAGTACCTAATCTACAGGCATAGCATATAACTGAGTAAGTAGGTACATGCGGTATAAGAGTTGAGCGGAACGGATTTGAGAGAGAGAGAGTGTTACGTTAAATGCTACAAGACTAGCCCCCTTATTACATATGTATTAAAAGTCATAGTTCCAAAATACTGAACTGTCCTATCCATGACATTGACAGCGGGGCGCCACCGTCCGGATACCGGATCGCTGGTTCCGATTTTTGCCATGTTGGAAACCATATAGTTGAACGATGGTAGCGCCCCCCTGTCATTGAGTTTGGTGGGACAGTTCAGCGTGGGTCATCTATACACCATAGTTAAACCCTGTTTTAAAGTTGTGACGCGCCCCGCGACGCATCGACAGCCCTAGCACCCAGCGCAGAGATTTTGACAACCCTACGGCTGCGCGGCCGCACGCCGCACGGACCGAGCTAATATATGAGACGGCGGCGACCGCGGGCGCCTAGCATTCGCTCGGGAGCCATTGTAACAGCCAGACGTTCGCGCGCGCGTCTATCATTCCCTCGGCTGCATTGCAAAGAGTCCCTAGCGAATAGCTATCCACATTGTTCCCTACTAACCCTAACTGTTCGACTCTGGCTTGATCCGATACCTCGTCATTAATCCGCGGCTTGCCATATAGCGTCGTGTCGAGACGTTCTATCGTTGATAGCCAACCGGTTCTCGTCCTTACCGAGTAGTGCATGAGATACTCATCCCGAACCTGCGGTAGCAATCCTGCTGCCACCCTTCCTGAACTTCACACCCCCTCACCTCGTAGGTCCAACGCCTTTCCCTAGTGGTCGTACTCACTATCGAGGCTTCGGTCTCTGGCTTGAGCTAACGAACCACATCCTGCCCCCCTAGTTATAAGTATCCAGACTAACACTCGATAAACCTCGCACAGGGCGCCGCCCCTCTCGCGGATACGAAAGCTAGCTAACGGGACGCGAACCGGGCGCGTCATTATTCCTCTTGTTGTAATTAGTAAATTGTGATATAACTTGTAAAGTACTCGTAAACTTGCTCATTATTAAACGATAGCGATTTAGAGTCAGTGAAACTAGAATAAGTGAACCATTGTGGAACCTGAATTATAAGTGCCATTGTGTTATTGATTGTGCGTTTCCTTGGTCAAATATCCCTGTAGGCATCCTGGATAGGTACACATCCCTCATCGCAGAAGGCGAACTGGGACTTAGTACTAAACAGCGGGGTGTCAGACTGAGCTAGCTTAGACGCCCCGTTGCAAAGTGACGTTTAGTATGGAAATGTCACTTTAAAAAACAAAAAAAGATGTTTATACCGTGACAGCTGACGCGACGTCACGTCTGGTATTGCATTTTATTACACTACTCCACTACCGCAGGACCCTGCTCAGTTTGCTTTACGCCAGTACTCAAGAAACGTTTTTGACTGCATCTATTACATGGTCGTCTGAAATTGCGATATCTCCTTACCAGTTGTGTACTGTTTGCTTGTTCCAGGTTTCTCGCGAAGCAACAAGCTGTCACGGCACATGCGCGTGCACACCGGCGTGAAGCCGTACAAATGTACGTACTGCGAGAAGGCATTCTCGCAAAGTAACGATTTAACGCTGCACATACGCCGGCATACCGGCGACAAACCGTACATCTGTGAAGTATGCGGCGATAGGTTCATCCAAGTAAGCGATTTGCCCATTACTAGACCTCTAAATAAGTTTTATTATTTTACTAGCGGCCCGCCCCGGCTTCAATGCAATGGAATTTCCCGGCTTTTCTCTTTTTCAATGTACCTACATGTTTTATACCTAAAAACCTTCCTCTTGAGCCACTCTATCTATTAAAAAATACCGCATCCAAATCCTTTGGGTATTTCTAAAGATTTAAGCATACATAGGGACAGACAGCGGAAAGGGACTTTGTTTTGTACTATGTAGTGATTTATTTTTATTTATGCAGAACAAGGTAGGTTTTTTATTTATTTAGGACAATCGCAATTGCACCTCATGTTAAGTGAGATGCTGCCTAGGATGGTACATATCTGCCCTGTAAGTGCCTATTCACTCTCGCCTTGAAAAGGCCCGGATTATAGTGTTTAGGAAAGACAGCAGCAGGCAGCGAATTCCAGTCCCTAGCTGTTCACATTATAATAGAGTCATCGAAACGCTTAGTGCGAGCTGGTGGAATGTCGACAATGTAGGGAGTGTACGCTAACCTGCTTCTGGTTCCCCGGTGATGGAAGGGGGCTGGTGGAATTAGGTCGTATAATTCCTTCGCACATTCTCCGAAATGTAGCCTGTAGAATACTGTTAGATAAGCTACTTTTACGAACGTTAGCGTAATAATATACAGGGTGTTTGGCGCATCGTGTGCCAAAATTATTTGGCGGATAGAATCTGTCATTTCCTATATTTTCAGCCCCCATAACACGTTCCATGCCAGGCGGCTACTTTTATATAAATTTTTTAAGTAATTTCACCATTATACCCAAATCGCATCATTTAATTTCGATTTAAAAAAAACTACTAGGCGTAGTCTCAAAGTAAATATTTTGTGAAGTGATTTGGCAATCATTTTGGCACACGATGCGCCAAACACCCTGTATATAGAGGTCCCGATAATCACGTTGACGTTCTTTGACTAGTGTTGGATTAAAAACAACTTTCGATGACGTCACGATATAACTTATGTTTTTCAGGGCACAGCATTACACAATCACAGGCGTACTCACGGGCATTACCCCCCGCCCGCGGCGGGCGCGTCGCCTGACGCGCAAGCGCACGTCATCCGCTCCACAAACGACGCGTACGCGCTCAAGCCAACCCTCAGACCGGACGCAGACAGCCACGTGCTAACCACCTTCTCCGTTCAAAACATCACGCACCCACCAGCTAACCAGTAACTATTCAATTAATTACATCACTGAGGCTACATAATATAAGTAAAGTTTCATTCATTATGATAATAGCAATAGAAACATTTTTCTCCTTTAAACGTTTCAATGTTTAGAATACAGTGTTGATTTGTGAATTCGAGTCTTTCAAGTACCTGTTTTGAACAGTGTTGGGCAAATCGACAATTTATTTTAGTCACGAGTCAGGGACAAGCAATGCAATTTAGCAGATAGAATTTAGCTGATGTCCACTTGAATAAATAGTTGAAAAAATATCTGGATATTATTGCCTAACACTAATTTAAAACAAATTTTCAAAAACATAATTACTCAAGATATTAATGAAATACCTATAATAATCATGTTTTATTCAAATTAGTAAGTATTTAGAAAGTGTAGAATAATTTTAGAAATAATTATATTACACATATTTTTCTTGCTTCAGAATTCAGATGAAAGATCTATTTTCGATATTCCAATGAAAAATGTAGCTTAATGTAGGAAATAGTTTTGATATTATGGTAGTAGGTATTTGTTTAAAGAACCGGAATTACAAATCAACAGCATACAAGTATTTTTGTGATTAACAATCATGATAAATATAAAATTCGGTGTAAAATAGACAATCTTAAGAACGTAGAACTAGCGATTCAAAGTTATAGAATATTATAATAATCACTTCTGTATAAATCGTAATATATTTTTACACTAAGTTATATGTGTGTATGTTTATTTATTGTCCTGAAGAGTTAAATGTCAAAAATATCTGGAGTCGTAGTTATAATGGTATTAGAATCTTTAGAGCTATTTATTTAGGGGTCATCCATAAAGTACGTCACACGTAAAGAGGGGAGGAGGGGGTTGACAAAGTGTGACATGGTGTGACAAGGGGTGGGAGGGGTCCTAAGTTTCGTGACGTCACATTTCAATCGTTTTAAATATTTGATATAATGTTGATTTCATAAAAAAAAGTACTTAATTTAAATGGAAATAAAACTAATTTCGGAACTGCTGTTAATTTNTCGATGTGAAATTGCAAATCATGTGACGTCACACTAGGGAGGGGGGGGTCTCAGAAATGTGACCACCTGTGACAAGGACGGAGAGGGGGTCAAAAAATCATGAAATTCGTGTGACGTACTTTATGGATGGCCCCTTATTAGCGTTCTTGGTCGATCTTGTCTCTTTTCATTTTGATTACAGCAAAATCAAACCTTCGCTAGAGAGAGAGAGAGAGAGAGAGAGAGAAATAAATCTGTTTTACTTAAATATAATTTATTCAGTTGGTTGTGCAATTTCATTCCTTCCGCCCGTTTTTTTACATCGGTGCCCTGTACACTGTAAGCAATTATTGAGAAATGTAAAAAAATATATTTAAATACAGCATCGCTCATGGACAATAAACAAACTGTCATGATTGATTTCATGGACTCGGGAAATAATAAGAGATTCCTCAGACAAGTTCAAATACCGGTCTATTCCCGTTGTTCCCACCAGTGAACAGGAATTTAATGTAAATATTAAAATTTATTATATTTTCCCGTTGCCGCCACTTCTCCGGCCGGTGGGGACGACGGGAATAAACCCAAATACCCACCGATGACAAGCAAGCAGCCCCGTCACACTGAAAAAGGAATAAAAAATTATGAACGAAAAAAGTATGGTGATATTGAAAGATTCAACTTCTTTTTTTTTCACATCATATCTGGTACTTTTTAACAGATTTCGGCGTTTTGCATTATCTTTTGATGGGCTTTTGATTTTGATTGGTACCTATAAGGATTTGTCACACGGGATGCGGTCTGCGGTCAGGGCAAAGTAAATGCCGCCCGCATGTGGCAAATCCTATAAACTTCATAAAAAATTAAAGACGTCGTAAGTTACCAGTTTTTCTACATAGTCCTGCTTTAATAATTATGAAAAAAATTTCGTATACCTTTGCAATATAGGCAGTCAATATTGACTGGACATCTCTTAATAAAAGAGGCCTACAATATGGTTTGTTTGTCAACTAGTTGGTTTTGTTTGTGTCCATTATACCCTTCGGCCGTGTATGATACCAGAGTTTGGTAACCAGTATCATACGAAGAAAAAATGATCGTCGTACTGGTATCCAAGTGATAGGATTTATTACTTTTCTGATACCCTTCATCATGTTTGGTAACCAGTATCCAGTAAGGAATATAACATTCTGCCTATGTAACCAACTCGGCAAAACTGTGTTAAGCAAGGGTAGTCCCCAATTCAACACTAAGATGAGAACCCTAACTGGTTATGTCATTATCCACTTCTGGTTATATTATTGTCCTTTTTCATCCGAGTAAAAGCCATCGGATCGCATTCTGTACCTACGCTTATTGTAAAACCCTTGCTTTGTTGAAAACATACAAGAAAACAAGGAAATAGTTCTGTGAATCGTTTTGGAAAACCTATTGGAATAAAATGGCGAAATGATTTCGATACAATGTCCAACACTAATTTCGTTTTCATTTAGCTGAGATATGGCGTCATTTATTTCTTCATCAATTTCTTTGAACTCTCGGCTTAGTTTCGATTTTCTCTTGTATATGTATAATATCCATTACGGTGGTTTCTTTTCTTAAAATATCTAAGAGTTGTGCCAATGTCGGTCTTTTACGTCCAACTGTTAAGGCGATTGTGCCAACCTTCTATATTATTGGTAGTACGTATTTTATATGATGAATAACAGCTAATTTTTTCGAAGTCAGCCTTTGCCATCCATTGGTTATTGAAATATTTGTTAAACCTATGAGGACTTATTTAAAAAAAACCATCATAATAGTAGATTGGACATTTTGGGAATTGGACGTTTCGGGAACTGGACATTTCAGGAATTGGACATTTCGGGAATTGGACATTTGCGATAAGAAACAAGAGCCTTTGGTGAACCAAAGGCTCTTGTTTCTTATCGCTTATCTCTACCGTGTTTTATCGAAGTAATGTGATCCAGGTTATACGAAAATAGAAGTGATTTAACGAGGGGAGCAGAGTTTTGGTTTGCTCGTCTATTGCAAATTTTAGCAAATGAAGGCACGCAGTTAAAATGCGCCTTCTCAGTTCAAGCCACAAAGAGCTTTCCGCTTGTAAGACGGTAGCTCTCTCAATTTCTTGACGTTTTGATGCCTGTTCTTTTAAACTTTTTTAAAACGAGTGTTTCCCTCGATCATAATCCTCAGGTTCCATATCGGGTCTTTCATATGCTATTCCATAATGAGCATCTACCTACAGGATTAAAATGTTTTTTTCGTGTAGTACCTGCACGAGCCATCACTTCTCGGGTATTTTTAGCATATCTCCTGGTTTCTAATGATTTTAAGGATTTTCCTGGACCAGTGTGAATACTTGATCTATAAAATGTAAATTGTGGTCTATCAGTACCTACCAAAAAAGCCTACCAGTTGGTTTTGTTTATGTCCATTAGTTTCCAAAAGAGGCCTACCAGTTGGTTTTGTGCCCATTATTTTTCAAAAGATTCTACCGGTTGTTTTTTTTTTTGTGTCTATTATTTTTCTTTAATTGTTTTTCTTGTATACTTAATTGAGCTAGAGCCTTTGGTTCATTATCTCTACCGTGTTTTATCGAAGTAATGTGATCCAGGTTATACGAAAATAGAAGTGATTTAACGAGGAGAGCAGAGTTTTGGTTTGCTCGTCTATTGCAAATTTTAGCAAATGAAGGCGCGCAGTTAATATGCGCCTTCTCAGTTCAAGCCACAAAGAGCTTTCCGCTTGTAAGACGGTGGCTCTCTAAATTTATTGACGTTTTGATGTCTGTTCTTTTGAACTTTTTAAAAACAGGTGTTTCCCTCGCTCATAATCCTCAGGTTCCATATCGGGTCTTTCACATGCTATTTCATAATGAGCATCTACCTACAGGATTTAATTTTTTTTCGTGTAGTACCTGCACGAGCCATCACTTATCGGGTATTTTTAGCATATCTCCTGGTTTCTAATGATTTTAAGGATTTTCCTGGACCAGTGTGACTATTTGATTTATAAATGTATATTGTGGCATATCAGTACCAAAGAAGCCTACCAGTTGGTTTCGTGTCCATTATATTTAAAAAGAAGCCCACTAGTTGGTTTGTTTGTGTTCATTATTTTTCAAAAGATTCTACCGTTTGATTTTGTCTGTGTCTATTATTTCCCAAATGACTCTACCAGTTGGTTTTGTTGTGTCTATTATTTTTTGTAGTGATGATTATTAACCATATCTTATTACTAAAAGTCTCCATCCGATTACAATAGTTTATGCGTTTCATTATATTAATATTTCATATGCTGAATAAAGAATTATTCCTTTCTCAATTGTCAAAAAATATCATTGGTTTAAACATAAACACTCATTAAACACTTGTTTATGTGGGCCTGTTAATCTATCTCTTACTTACGTGTGCTCGACATTGTTTCGAATGACACTATAAAAACAAATAAAAAGTCTTATTTTGAGTGAGTAGAGTATAAAAATATAAATTTTTGCTGAATTTTTTTGGGTGTAAATAACGCCTACAATAATTTTATGGTGTTATTTCTGCAGCTGTGTTCCCTTCCTCACTTTTTTTAAAATACAATTAGGCTAATTTCATTTTCTAAAGTGAGTTAGTAAACTTCGACCATTGAAAAAACAATGAATGTGATTTACCTCTGCTGAACAACCGGTGCCTTCACACTGAAAAAATACAACATCATTGTTGAATAATATTATTTTGCTTATAGAGCTTTGCTTATAATATTATTTGTTGTTTTCTTTTTGTACCGTTATTGATGGTCTGAATCATATTCAGAAAGCAATAATTGAACATCGAAATAATCTCGTATTTACCTACTTTTGATTGTATTATTTTTTACATTGAATTAAAAACATAATGGTTAAACGTCCAACACTGGTTCAGGGTACCAAAACATGTAATAAAATCGCAGTACATAAGATTACTTTACCATTGAAAAGCAATGATCCCCCGTGCACTGAAATCCATAAAAAAGGAACACTATTACACCAAATAACATTGTTGTTGATTCTGTTTAATACTTTAATCTCTAATGTAGCTTTACTGTAACTGCTATTTTTGCCTTTTTAGAAACAGTCATACTTACCTAACCTATTCTCTTAGATACAGGAGTATCTTAATTTCTTTGTCAATGCGACAGGCTTTAGCATAGTAAAGGTGTCCACTGAGGAATCATTAATTAGGTTCACTGGTTTTAAATGCATTGTCCATTCGTCTGTTCTGATTCATGAAAATTACGGACCAGAGTATCCGTTTTAAGTTACTGCATCCAGTATTTTGCTGTAGGACTTGTTT